TCTTAGTTCTATGGAGTGGGAAAGCGAGCGGCAGAGGGGGGAGGGGAGTAAGGTAAGAGTGTAGCGACTCGTACGGCGGTGGGGAGAAGATGCCGAGAGAAAAAGGAAAGATTGAGAGAGAGAGAGAGAGAGAGAGAGAGAGAGAGAGAGACGCACACGACAACCTCGAGCAGGCGAGCCTCCGCTCGGGTCGAGGACGGCCAAACGGGCCTCGCCAATGTTCTCTCTCTTCTCTCTCTTCTCTCTCCTCTTCGCACCGGTCTTCTCTCACTCTCTCTCTCTCTCTCTCTCGCTTCCAGTGAGTGCGCGAAACTTCGATAGGTCGTTTTAGCGGAATGTATACACGTTCGCGCGTGTCCGTATACGAACGGAAATTCAGGCGCTACGGCCGGATGCGCGGGGGTGGGGCTGTAAATTCTTTTCCATGGAATTTATGGTCGCAGTTTTTAACGATCGGCTATTGTTTAACGCGACGCACTCGTTATTGGATGTCGCGTGTTATGCCGGAGTGCCGAACCAATGGCTCAATCACTTTTACCGCTGAAATATCTTTTATTAACTTTGGTGGATGTTTTCATAGCTTCGCGGATGCTTTGCTCGCCGGGGCCGAACATTGACGAGGACAAGCATTCGGATGCCGTTGTTAATGCGGGATTAGCGATTTCGTGGTACGAGACGACAATATAATCTCCGATTGCTCTAGGGTTGTCGGGAGCTTCGCAACGACAACGCTGCAAGCTAAAATTCTCTCCCTCCCCAACCCCCCTCCACAAACCATCCCATTGGCAATCGGCTCATAACGCCAACATATCGATTCCACGAAGGTCTACCGAGTGAACAATAACAAAAATATTATTGCTTACGAAAAGTTTTTCCAAAAATTGGCGCCTTCTTTTTGGAAACAAAATTCTTCAACTATTTTAATAGCCCTCGGGGTTATTACTAGCGAATTGTCATTAATATCATATTACAAATCGCCGTGGTGCGCAGAGAGACAAAATGGCTTTATTAAGGCTGATTTCATAAACATAAATATGACGACCGTGAAAATGTATATTTAAACACGTGGGACAAATATTTATTCGATCGTGGTAGTGGCAGTGCCGACGGAGGATGGAAATCTCGGGATTTTCCCTTACGGGGTAATTTCCGAGTTAAGTATGGCTGTGAAGTGCGCATTTTCGGCTGCGCTCTCGTCCGCGTGAATTTCGTAAAGATTGATCCTGCGGCGGGAAAGTCGCGGACTCGCGGTTGACCTTTTGTGACCTCGGGAGGATATCGAGCTATTGGACCCTGAACTAATAGAGTTGCGCAATCCGTTGGATGCGACTAAATTCCATTTCGTTTGAGACACGCAATGCACACACAATTATTTTAAATCGTTTTTCGATTTTTATGCCATTTGATGAAGAATTATGCTTTCACGCGATAATACAATTTGTTGAATGAGAAAGCGTGTAATGTTTTTACAACAATAACTCGTTACGTAATGGCCCAACGTAACAATATTTAATTGATTTTTTTTTTTATTTATTTATTTATTTTTTTTTTTTTTGTTTTTTTTTTTTTTTTTTTTTTATCACTTTGCACTAAAGCATTTATGGGAACTTGCTAATTGCACTTATCTGTACTTAATTGTTCGTGTGAAGCAAATAGTTAGTAAAATATAATGGTCTTTCTACAATAAATCTAATGATTGTTTTCTTTTTATCAATTGAAATGAATAATTTCAATGGGATAATTGAAAGCTGTTGTCTCAGCCTTTAAAAAGAAGTATCGTTATATTAAAATATAATAAATTTAACACGATTCATCAAATATACAATTTTTTAATCATTAATGAATTCGATGAATCAATTGTAACTGGGTAATAATAAATGTGATGATATTCGAGGGAAAAATGGGAGACAAAAATGATGATTTGCATCGATTACTTAAGCTTTAGCAAATAAAGTAACTAACTAGGTAGGAGGGTACGAAGGATATTTCACAATCTGACTATCAAATTTTATATTTGAAAATTCTTAAGGATCTTTTAAAGGAATTTAGAGTTTAAAATTCGAAACTCCATGATAATATGCCAATGTTCTTATTTATGAAAGATATACTTCTCTCAATTTTTCTATTCCTTGTGTTCAACGATGAAATGTCAAGATTCCTTAAACGTCAGAAAACTTCTCCTTTCAGGAAATAATAACGTTCATTTGCTTAATAATACAAATATAAGTATCGATGAATCGAATAGTTAGAAGCGTAATGAAACGCACAGCGCGATTTACGAAGGTATTCCTAGTATTACAATAAGCAAGAGTATTTATTACTTATTCGACATGGTTTGGGTGAAGGTTTAGTAAATGGTAATATCGATATGGATTTTTCTCATTTTTCGCAGACAAGAGGCTGTTTGCTGCGTCGAATGAAATTGTCATGGCGAATGGAAAAGAGCAATGAATAATCGGGACAAGTTTTTGCGAAAGTACGTTGTTAATTTACTGGAATT